TAAGCCAGAACACTCACATACACAAGTTACATGAAGTGGATTTATTACTCACAGAGAAGCAGCAAGGGACAGCAGAAGCCTAGGATTTATGATGAGCTGGTCTCTCAAGACTCAGGAAAGCCACACAGTGCAGATCGAGTCTCATCTGTGCATGTCCACTTGTACTCCAGCTGGGAAAAGCTGTAAAAGCATGGAAGGACATTTTGTTTTTGGGGAGGCTAGAACAGAGCCTGGGCTGTTCTGGCTATTTCTTCCTTATCTCAGAATATTATATTCCCAGCACATTGGAATTATTCTTCAGAACTACAAGCAAGAAAGTGGGGAGAACTGGGCCAGTCCAAGGCCATCTGGAGAAATATCCTGCAGACATCACTGGGTATTCTTGCACATCTCGATCTTAATATGTCCTAAACTGAATCCATCATTTCCCTGGCTCCCAGTGAATCTTCTGCCTCTTGTACTTTGTTTCACTTGAAGATACCATTCTTTTCCCAGTTACTGAGTCTAGAAAGTAGGAAGTTATCCTTGGCTCTTCCTTATTTCTAACCCTTCCACCTCGAAGGTGACCCTGAATCACTTGGTCTTGTTAATTTGTTACTCTAAATATTTCTCAATTTCATCTACTTGCTTAGTTCAGGCACTCATCCTCTGATTGGATTACTGCAACAGTCTCTCAAATGATTGCTTTGCCTAAATTTGCCAGATCCAAAAATCACACTGGTTGCTGGATAGATTTCTCTGAATCACACATCTGACCCTACTATTCTCTTGCTTAAAACCCTATATAGTTTTTCTATCACTCACAGTAATGAACCACTGTCCTTCCCAGCCCACATGTACTGTTTGTCATTTCGGTGCCCATTTGCATGCCTTCCTCTCTGCCAAGAACAGCCACTTCACCCCCGCTTTCTTTCTCAGGAGCTCCCATGTGTTCTTCAAGACTTTGAAGAAGGCTTCCATTGACCTCCTTTCTCCTCAAGGTGGCAAAACCAAAAATCAAACAAACAAGTAAACAAAAGCAGTGGCAGAAAGGAAAAGTAACCACAGAAGAGAGGAGAATAGGTTTAGACCGTGACTTTGAAGACTTAGAGACAAACTTCCCACAGAAAAGATCCTGACCTGAAAAGAAAAATCCAGGCAGAGGAAGATTATTCAGCAGGAGTGCCTTAGTGGAGGATGAATGATCCCTTTAGAAAGAGTGAAACTGTCTCAGCAAGTTCTTGAGAATAACTTCTTCAATATTAGCAAATGAGGTACCAAATATAAAGGTGCATTTTCAGAGTTTTAAAAATTCACAAAAATATTGGCTTTCAGCTTTGAAACCAAAGCTATTTCTTCTATGATAATGATAAACTCAGAAATTGTTTGTACAAGAGATAAAAAGTAGAAAACAAAACGGATGTATGTAATTATAATCTTCTCAGTTATTATCGGCATAAACAACCTAAGATGAGAGTTAATGTCACTGCCTTTTTTCTCCTTCTAGAAGAAAGAGGTAATAAATCTTCAGGAAAGCTAGATTGCTAGATCCTTTTTCAGCCCCCAGTTCCTGATTAGGGAGTATCATTGCTTCTCGAACTAAAAACTACTAAGCAAACAATTAGTTGGTTACAGGAATGTCTCTGCTTGTTTTATGTTGAAATTTTATTCCTTTTTTTTTTTTTTTTTGAGGCATAGTCTCACTAGTCACCCACGCTAGAGTGCAGTGGCATGATCATAGCTCACTGCAGCTTCCCATGCTCAAGCGATCATTCTACCTTAGCCTGCCGAGTAGCTGGGACTACGGGTGTACACCACCATGCCTGGCTAATGTTTAAAATTTCTGAAGACATGAGTTTTGCCATGTTGCCCAGGCTAGTCTCAAACTCCTGGGCTCAAGGAGTCCTCCTGCTTTAGCCTCCCAGAGTTCTAGGATTACTATTTTTAAATTTGAAAGAGCTACATTAAGGTATAATTGATGTACCTTAAGCTGCACATATTTAAAATGTACAATTTGTTAAGTTTTGACACCCATCACCACAGTCGAGATAATTAACATATATATCACCCCCCAAAAGTTTCCTCATGACCCTTTGTTAATGGTGGAGGGTGTCCAGTTTCTTGGCGTCTTGAACAAACAATTGGACAAAACGCACAAAGAAAGGAAGGAATGAAGGGTTTCGTTGAAAATGAAGGTACAGTCTACATTATGGGAGCGCGCCTGAGCATAAGGGCTCAAAGTCCCCATTATAGAATTTTTGGGCATTTAAATACCCTCTACTTGGGGTACACCCTATGTAAATGAAGAGGATGAAGCAACGCATGTACCATTAAAGTTTCTTACCTACATTGGGCCTTCATCTTTTATCTATCAAAGTATAAGTTTATCCATGTATAAGGCTGGCTGCAAACTCCTTCACAAATAAAACTATATCCCATAAGTGCACATAACAGACCCCTTTTCCACTTCTACTGTTTGTAGAGGTATAAGCAAAAAAAAAAAAAAAAAAAATCAAAGATGAGAGTTTTATAATAGTAGAAGTCTTAAGCTGTGAACTTGGGAAAAGCTGTTCACATCAAGCATGCCATTTTCTTCTTGGGAGAAATTTCCCAGGGTAGCTTTACCTCAAAAGTTCCAATGCATGCACAGTTCCAAAAGTGTGGAGGGACCCTTCTCAGTTGCCAGACCATGAACCCAAAGCCCAAGGTCCTGAAGTTTTGTTGTAGTGTGGATGACAAGGACAGTCTTCTCCATGTTTCCAGAAAATTCAAACCATACAAAGCTTTCTTTACCTGGTTAAAATACACTGTAGCCTAATAATCTACTGTTATAACATCAGCCCTTTGCATGGGAAAGCTTTTATACAACCAGAATGACAAATTGGAATTCAAATAACAATTAAATGAAATCATTTACAAAATGTTTAAATGGCCCACCAGGTGACCAAATGCACATGAAGCTTTAATTGTCTCCCCAGGAATATGGGACTAAACATTGGTTATAAACTATTTTAAACAATTTTAGTATCAGCTGGTTTAATATGAAAATCTGACAAAGTATTTTCTTGGTATTTAATTAAAATTTTTTTTTTGTTTTACTTGGGTTAGTAGCTTTACACAAGGAAACTTCATTCAAAGCAATGAAAAACAACAATACTGACTACTAAAAATTGTTTTAAAATCAGAAGGAAAAATAATATGGATTTCAGGCATTCCCAAGTTATAAATGGGTTTTCTGCATGTTTGAAACCAAAAACAAACTTTCCTATAGAAATATCAGTAAATCTAGCAAAGAAATAACACACCCCAAGCATGTCATAGCCTGTCTTAAATAAGGGGAAAACATGAGCGCACTAGTAAGAGGCAAGTAAACGGTGCTTTGCTTTACAATTGAGGGAACCTCGCAGGCTCTGTTCTTGGCTGCCCCACGCAGGCAGCGGAAGGCAGGCCAAGGAGGAAAGAGCCCGGCCTCCCGGGTCCCGGCAACTACAACTCCCAGGATGCCGCGGCGCAGGCTCCCGGCCGGTGCAGGCTGGGCTCAGCTCTGCTGGACCCGCGCTGAGGGGACTCTGGCCTCGCTGCACTCATGGCTTCTCCTAGCAAGGCAGTGATTGTTCCTGGGAACGGAGGCGGGGATGTGACCACCCACGGCTGGTATGGCTGGGTGAAAAAGGAGCTGGAGAAGGTAAGCGCCCAATGCCTCGCTGCTCGGTGAAGTCAGCCTGCAGCGAGGGACGGCGGGAGGGGACTGAGAGCTGAAGTTTGAACATGCGTCTAATCCCCTCCAGGAAAGCCCTGTGTGTTTTCCTTCCTCTCCCCCGCTGCCTTCTCTTAAACTCTAGAGCTAGTGGTCGAATTTTGGTTGGTAAAACTGCCTGGAAGACTTCTTTGAGGGCTCAGCCGTTAGAGTTGAAGGAACCCCCCTTCTTTGAACTACCCAGGCTGAGCCCCGAGCCCCGCCCCCCGTATCTGCTGCTGGTTCAGATTTGGGACTTCCCAGATAATTTTACATCTTCACTGCTCCTCGCTTCAGCTTTAAAAAAATTAAATATGCTATACTTAATAGATACAAAGGATATATGTAACATGCGTCTACATTATGAGGCATAATGTAATGAATTACTAAACTAAAATCTGGGACATTGCCTATACATCGTCTTCCAAACGACCCGTATGTCTACCCATCTCAGACCCGTGCCATCCTGAAGTTTTTTCATCTGCTTCTCTTTTTAAAATTAAAGTACTTTTCAACCTATGAATATACCCTTTAAACAATAGACCGTTCAATTTGGCTTCTTGGTGAGCTTTATAAAAATGGCATCTTACTGTAGGCTGCCCTGTGCCGTTTGATTTTTATTTTTTAACCCTCTTCTGTAACCAGGGGGTAGTTCGGCTCCCTGGGTTGCCATCCTCCAGAGTAGATTGCAGGGCTGTGGCTGAAAACCCTGGTCAGAGCTACAACCCCAAAGTTCAGGGCTAGAGCTTCTGAGAGGATGCTATCTCCAACTTTCTGTATCACGTTCCTATGCCACGTTTTACCTACTGCCTGGCCCACGGTCTATTTGGCTCCAAGTCAGTCTGTCTAGAACATATTTGTTCATGCCTCTCTATAGATGGAGGGCTGTAGAGGCAAATATGGGTGTACAAATGCAGATATAGGTCTCTCTATAGAGGTCAGCAGAGCTGCCTAGATACAGAACTACAGATGGAGTTGATGCGAAAGGATGGTCACTTAACCTACTTCATTTCTTAACACAAGTTAATACTGAATTGGTAATGATCATATCAGGTGCCTCATTTCTTATTAGCAAAGTATTAGTTGTAATTAAGCTCTTTATTATAGCTTTTTCTCCCCCCTCATATCATAGATACCTGGTTTCCAGTGTTTGGCTAAAAACATGCCTGACCCAAGTAAGTTTTAAACTTGTTTTTAAACAGCCTCATCTTGTTGGGTTTTGATATTACCATGTTTGTGGTAGAGAACAAGAATATCGTAGTGGAGAAACCAAAGATACCTATATACCTAAGAAAGAATAAGGCAAGTAGCTTGGGGAGGAGGGTGTGAACCAAAAGCCATAGAAAATTCTAGTAAGGATCAGGAAAGCACCTGGGCATGGTAAAATTTAATTTTCAGCTTTGCACCAACTTGATCTTTCCCTTCTGTAAGTCTACAAATATTTTCAGGCAGAATTTGTGGGTATTACATTTGAGGCATACGTATAAAACTTTACAGCATGTGTTTGAGATCCTAATGTTTAAACATGTCATATTGCTACTTTTGTTCTGGGTATGCCTATGACTTGTCTCAGGAATCCCCTGTTTGGAAAGAATGAATAAATGTGTGTGAATTTTAGAATGTTCCAAGAG